GCACCGATTACTATTCTATTAGGTGTATGCAAAAGTTTTGGGAATACTAGCATAATTACTTTTAGAAAATGCAATCTCTCTCTTTTCTGTGCATACTTGTCGTTTCCTTGATATTCATCCATCTGAAACGCCTACATCGCGGTCGACTAGTAACTATAAATTCATAAAATAGTAATAACTACGAGTGTTTTCTTTATTTCTGTCAAAATTAAATCTCTTTTCGTCCATCAATATTACTGTTCTCCTTTCTTTCGTGTGTCTTTATGCTGGGCAGTTAAACAAAGTTTCTTTTGCAAATTCCATGTTTGAAATGTTTCCATTTCTCGACATTGGTTACTCCAACATTTCTGACAATTTTCTTTAGAGTCATCTTTGAATTTGATAGCCAGTAATTGTCAAGATTCTTCTTTAGATCAACTTCGATTAATTCTATAAATTTTATAACTCACAGGCATTGTGTTTACTCAAACTTGATAAACGTATACTCATCGAGAATTGAAAAATTACGAAGCTGTTTTCCAAATTTTGTCGGTGCAAAAGTAAACAAAAAACTTAACAGGCCATGGTTAAGGAACAAATATTAAATTTTGTTCGTATTGAAATCGATCACGTTTCACGGATTGCGCGTTTGAAATTCTACGCTCGGATACGTTGTTAGTGAAATATTTCTATTACGATTACGTAAATCATTTTCATAACCAACGGATTATAATGTCATCTCGTATCGGGCACCAAGATAAATTAATTATCAAGATATATTGCCATCGATCTAGACAGCCTCGATTAATCCTTTACAGTCCCATATCTCACACGCCGCGACATCGGTGTTTTGTACTACTGAATTTTACGCTCGACCGTACACGCGATTCAGAATTCCATGGAATATTTCGTACGTACATCTGGTAAAAATATTCTACACGATTAAACGGCGGTTTTCGTGTGACGAATTTTAATCGATTTTTCAACCGGGTAATTTTTCGAGGCGGCTCCGTGTACGCGCTCGTATAAAATTCATCGCCTTTTCCGTCATAAACGCTCGCGACGCGAACGTTTCGCTATTTTTACGAAATAAACGAGATAGAAATAAAATACTTAATGTACTGCGGCGTACTGGGTGTTTCAGGAAAATAGAACGCACCGAACGATTGGATGATTTTCGTCGCTAGCCAATACCGTGTTGCCTCTGCGTATTTGTGTGCATCCATGCAGTTACAAAGTGCAGTTTGCGGCTGGTTCCCTCGCAAAGTCCAAATTGAGATTTCTCCCCCAACTTTTACGCGATAACACCTGCTTTTTATGGAATACCAGTTTGTTTGAGGTATAACAAACTTTTACGTTTCGAATTCTCGGCAATGAAGCAGAATAAAAATTAAGACAGAATTGTTATTTGCTTAAGATGGTACTTCCTATCTTGTGATGTTCAGGTCTGGTTAAATTGAAAATATAAATAATATAATATCGCTATTCTAAATTACCTGAGCCCTAACAAAATCGTTTATATCATTTTACAGATAGTTTTTTATTTTCATCATTACTGACAGTTTGAAAGATATAAGTTTCGTTTGTTTCCATGTATCTCAAAGAGACTGGTATTCCAAACATGCTGTATTTCTTCTAAAAACCCAAAAACTCAAGAATTTACAAAATATTTTGAGTGGTCTCAACAAGCTGTCCTGTATTATTCGACGATAAACAAACGAGAATTTTCGATATTCGACGGTCTTCTTCAGTGACAGAAATATCAAGTTTCCATTGTTTATTTATCTTCGCACGTAAAATCACTGCATTTCCGTTTCAGCGCCCATTTCGAATTACACAATACATTAACCCTTCCAAGTCTGGGGACAAAATGCCTGTCCAAGGTCGGTCGCTAAATGCATACAGCCACGAAGGGTTAATCCACCGAAGGGAATAAGAAGAACGAAGCCGAAAGAGTTCCGTGGACCCTTTTCTTCGCGCGAATGTCTCGACCCTCCGTGCTCGACCAATCGTTAAAATAACTCCGTCCGCTGCCACCGGCAGACGAAATCCCTACAAAAGACTCGAAAAAGAATCTCCAGTCTGTCTACCCCCGCCCCCCTCCCCAAAAAAAAAATTAAAAAAAATCAGAAAAAAAGAATTAAAAAAAAAAGTCAAGCTTGGCCCGACGAAAGCTCGAGCGAGATCGGGATGGGAGGGCAAACGAGCAAAAGAGGGAGAAATCCAACGATACGCCGCACCGAAGGCATCAGCATATTATCATGACCATGTTCGGCCTGCTTTTGACATATCTATTACGCGTTTCCGAATAGAGGCGACTTCGAATTCTATGTCTGTTCCGCCTCCCACCACCCCTCGATTTCTCTCTCGCTCTCCTTTCCACCCTCAGTCCCTTCGACGGGGGTCGAAGAGAAGAGAAACCAGAGGGCGGAAGTCGAGAAAGGGAAACTCTGGCAGGGGCGTGTGCCCCGCGGAGCGTGGGAGGGTACGGCGGTGGTGCAGACGCAGAGGTCCAATTAATCAGCCGGGGCGTGAAACGAGAGGGGATTCGGCGGAGGGCCAAAGGGTGACCAGGGGTTGTCGCAGGGATTGCGGTGACAGATCCGCCGTATCTATCCCTATCTGCTCGGGGCATTAAATTCGCGCGATGCCAGTACCGGTACCGTCGGATCCTCTTGAATCGGTTAACATTCCGCTGAACGCGCTGCCACGGGTTTCAATTAAACGGGTCGCGCCGCGGCTGCCGGACACCCGACGCGAACCGCCGAACCTGAAAAAGTTTCGAGAACTCGACGACTCGAAAGGACACCGCGCCCCACCAAGGAGACTTTACGAGTAATGGATTCTTAAACTGAACCCTAAATACGATTCGTAAATTGAACGTTTCTATCCCTCCACACTTGGGGAATCCCCTTTAGAGCCAACGAAGCGTGAAAGACGACCCGAAAAAACGTACACGGTGTACAGTGATGATTGTTAGAATGAGCCCTAGACGTGATTCGTAAATTGAACGTTTCTATCCCTCCCAACTTGGGGGATCCCTCTTGAAACCCAGTGAGGCGTGAAAATGGTTTGTGAAAAGGCTTCTTCGTCAGATCTCGTCAACTGGCATTTAACCCCTTGACGTACGATTTAATTCTAAATAATTTTTTGACCGTATACTGTTTAATTTTATTTAAATTTGTTGGTACAAGGAATGGCCACGAAAAAGATTTATTTTATGAATACCTCGTAAATATAAAAATGTTTTAAGACTTGTTGACGAGTAGCCTCATGATTGTGAAACTAGACATCAAGAACTTATGACAAGTCAGACTCGCCATTATGCGGCAAGGGGTTAAAGGCCATAACTTGTTATTAACTTTAGAAAGATATTCTTAAAATGCTATTTAAAGTAAAGGCTCGATGATATCGCTGTGTATAAACATCTGCTGGTGTCGAATTTCGCTTCCACTGTACCAGAAATGGACACTCCAACCTCCGGACCGACGTTCATTTTACGAAGCATTACTGTAACAAGTTCCTGTCGTCTCGCGACACGTTACACGCGTTTCCAGCGTAGCTTTAGGATTCGGAATCCCTGCAGCGGAAAAGCAGTAACGTTCGCGAAAAGGGAACGGACGGAATGGAGTTTCGTTCGGCGTTAATGAACACGCTGTTTGCTAAGTGATTATTTCCGATAAAAGGTAAAACGAACTTTCCTGGCACGAGTGCAAGACCGCCAGCACTCCGTGCGCGGGGCTCGTTTAATGAAAAAAGAGCGAAACGAGGACGAGATCCCTGGGCGGTAGCAACTTTCAGAATCTAGTTTCTCTGCCTAATTTTCTTTAGTATTATTATACGCATTTGTTATGCGCGCGGAAACGTACACCGAGCGTCTCGGATAAATGGAAGAATCGGCTGAATGTCTGCTTATTTGCCGTGGTACCAAAAAAATTTCCCGGAACTAACAAAAAACGATCTTTAATATTCAAAATATTCCTCATTGGATATTCAAAAAATTCTGAAACTTTGGAGATGTATAGAGCATGTGTACAGATGGAAATGAACCCCCAAATATTTGATTATAGTTGATTTTTCTGTCATAATTCCCAAGCTGCACAATGTAGAAAAAATTTTATCGGACAAAAGTTCTTTTTAAACTGGATCTGTCACGTGGTGAACGATCTATCAATTTTTTGAGAAAATGTTGTTTACGAAACGCTATATATTTCTTTTTATTTTTCAATTATTCACTAAATAATTTATGTAGTACTACTTCGACTCAATTATTTTGTCACGTTTTCCTGATACTATTCTATTGAATAGTGTGACTTCGAAACTAAAATATAAATTTAACACGGTGCGTACTAAACCAAAATATTGATTTCAAGTAATTTCCAAAAGAGGAATAATCAATACCCACTGATAAAAGCATAGCTTGTGCAATATGCTCCACGATTAAATCTTCATTTGGTGCAAAATAGATTTATATTTCATGAGACTTTTTCTGTTCCATATAATCTGCTAAATATATGGACGAAAATCGTTAAATTCATAACTCGTCCATTTATTATTAGATTTGCATAAAAGTTGCACCAAAAGATGCAGACTTTCCTCAAGTATATTATAATTAAAAAATGGTCAGACATAGAGTTGCACCCCTCTTGTCTTCGATTAAATATGTGATATGCAGTGTTCTACATAATACACATGAAGGATAGTTGATGGTTCTGTGGCGTCGCCTCCCAAGCTCGCCACCAGAGGGGTCGCGCTCTCACAAGCGCTCGACCGACCCCTCCTTTCCTTTTCACGCCTCCTACGATTCTCACAAGATCCTAACCGCAGCGAAGCAGCGCCACAGTTCATAGTTCATTTGTGTATACAGAGACAACATAGACAATCGCCACAACAGAAAAATGGGGTGATAGCTTGAAAAATGAGCATAAAAATATAAGAACCACTGGGGTAAACATTGATTTAATCGATTTGATTTAACTTGGGTGATTTCGTCAAACGTTAATGAGAAATGACTCGTTTTGATGGCAGTCGCGGACGTCCAATGTGGCCTAGGAGCGATCGGGACACGCGCGGCGAGACTCGTCGGAGGACAAAACGCTATACCGCACGAATTCCCATGGATGGTGAGCATAAGCAGAAAAGGAGGACACTTCTGCGGCGGTACCATTCTTAATGCAAGATTCGTTCTGACTGCAGCGCACTGCTTGTGTTCGTAAGTACAACTGCATGGCCGCTGTGTATACGGCGCTGTTACATTTGCAACCATATCGTTCCATTATTCCGATTTTCGTGCCTTACAGATCGATCGAACACGCAATACTATATACTTGTTCGACACAATTCGAGAAACATGCTTTCGACAAGCCAAGAACGTACCATATTATGCATCAGTAGTTTCCAAAGTGGGGGAAGTGACTCTCGATCAAAGAAAAATCAAACAAAAATTTTGAACGTAGAAGAATATCGATCGCTTCGATATTTCTATATATTAGTATTAGATTTGCTCGTCAACTTCTCATACTTAAAGTTACAAGACTGGCGAATATTATTTGTTAACAGTGGACGTTGAATTTGATTAATGGAACGATATATTCTAATTGGAAGAAAAATTGTATTTTAATATAAATGTCGACAAGACAGATTTGAATAAAAATATGTACAAATGTCCGTAAATCTAGCATTAATGCATTGTGATCATCAAAGTATACTTGGGTTATATTCTTTTTTACAATTTTAAACCTAGCACTCGTCTTGGCCGCAGACATTTTCCTTAAATCGTGAATGAAATACCAAGTGAAAGCATAAATATTGCCCGTGGTTACAAGATTAATAATGCATCGTATCAAAGGTGACAAATCATAGTTGTTAAAAAATGTTCAAGTTCCTCCGAGAATTAACTTTAGAGATATAGGGAAATCAAAGTCGTCAATGTTCATTCGTTTGACAATGTTAACTATTTTTATTCGTTATAATATGAATGGAGATTTTTATTCAACGTCTCAATATTTACCACGATAATTATATTTTTTAAAAATCACTTAGTTGACCAACTTTAATAGGAACATAAAAAGGAACAAATTTTTTAATGTTTTTCATTCTGAGTCAACCACTTTTTATTCTTTTCTTGTTGTGAACTATACTCTTAGAGTTAATTTAGTTTTCAATGTATTTATAATAATTCTACATTATACAATTTTCATTCGTTAAGCCAAAGATAAAACAATTTAATTCTACAGTTTCTTTCTGCATCAAACGTATGAAGATATCGTTAGACGTCGACATACATTCATATGAACCTCGAAAGCGACGTTAAACAATAACCAGACGTCGTATACTGTTTCGATAATTCCGCAGTATTGTATCAAACAATTTATAAATTCGGAATAACGATCCCGGCCGTTAAATTCAATAGTTCGCTCGGTTCCCAGCGACAAAAATATCGGAAAACGGGCATCTAAATTTCAAAGCATTACCGCCGCGTAACGTTAATATCGACCGCGAGATAATTTATATCGCCATTCTTTACAAATAACGGTGCTGTACGCGTGTTCGTGCAATCAATATGCAGGCTGCCTTCGAAAATATTCATGGCAGAAAACCGACTGTTTCTTCGTGGAAAGCTGCCCATTGTTCCCCATAATCGAATCTACAACCGCGCGCATAGAGATCTTATCGGGACGATATTCACGGCGTCCCGTGTGCCAAAATTTTCTGCCGTTTTCGGTATCGCCGCGTAAAATGTCAACGTTACGCCGCGTTGTCCAACAAACCGTGCTGCAATTACGCCGATACGATCGCGAAGATTGAAAAATGGCACTCGACGCCGACGCCCGGTTATCTCGCGATGAACGAAAATCGAACATCATCTGAGCGTAATGAGATCAAAACATTCAGAGACGCACCAGCGAGTGATGAAACCCATACCGAATCAATACCATCCACTATACAACCCTTAAATTTAACAACGGGTGTTCATCAACTTGATTAGAGAAAGTACAGAGAGAAATTTCCCTAGTAGCACAAAATATTGTATACACATTCATATGATATTAAAAAGAGACTCAATCTTTTTTTAATATTCAAATATACATACAATGTTTATTTTGTATTAAGTAACAAATATTATTTTTTAAATATGCAGGAAATATCTATTTCATGTTAAAATATTTTTTCTCATTATATTATAGCCTATTGACATATGAAACATAATGTAAAATAATAACATAATGTTTATAGCCTCATAGCCTGCTTTGAGACTATCATTTCTGCAAATTAATTACACATTCTGTACTTATACATTTAGAGCAACTAAACAAAATTTCATCTGTGTTGTACAAAAACAACAGGGATTAAAACGAAGTCGCGAATTCATAGATTTTTAATTTTATATCAAAATGTTAATTGTTAATATTAAAATCCCCATACCATAAACCATCCACCTCCATGTTTTACAATCAGAAGTATTTTTATCTTTGTGATTTCAATTTATGCTTTATATCCTTTCCAAAAGTATTAGCAATCATTCCAACAAGTTTCGAAGCAGAGACTCGTCAGCTTTTCTTCGTTTCCTCTGGCTTTTTGATCTCTTAATTACGCGACGGAACTTTTAAAGTCGCTACGTGAAGTACAAATAGGCCCAAAGTTTGAAACGAGTTTCACGCGCATGTAGTGTACGATAAAGGGATTACGTTTGAACTGGAGACAAATATTTCCATCCTTCGGACGTTAAACGGTAAAACGAAAACAGAAGCGCGCAGAAACGCGAGGGAACTGGATTTAAACTACAGACGGGATGGTTTAATTTTTTAAGATCTACGCTGCCTCAAAAGGCTTCGCAAAGTGACTGCGTCGTAATCCACTTAATCCATTTACGCGAATCTGTGTCGGTTTAAGAACTGGAAGTCCGCGTGTCGCGTTTACACGGAGCCGCCGGTCGGGTCGGAACGTTTTGCAAAAATCATATACGCTCGACGAAAAGGCGGAAAATTTAACGCCGGTGGCCAAACGAAATTACGAAAGGCGTAAAAACGACGTCGCGAGACGCGTCTTTCACGGGGTCGCGCGGAAATAATTGTTCGCGTGAACATTTTTATTTAAAACCTGCTCGATACGGAATTCTTTTCGTTGATCGAAAACACGCAATAAAATCATTTCCGCGTTTTAACGAATTTATAAGCGCGAATATAGCCTCGCGAATCGAGTCTTGTTAGCAACAAACGTGGTCCTCTGACTTTGTGCCCGCTTTGTGATTATCGAGTAAGCGGATGAACGACTAATCGCTTCGTGAAAATTATATAAAACGATGCGTTCTCGTTCTGCGTGGTCGAACGATCGTACAGAACGATATGGATGTTAATTGGAACAACAATTACATTTTAAATGAAACCTAGAGCGTTATTTTACCCGAACGAGTGACGGAACATTGCGCCAAGTTAAAAACTCAGTGGTTGTTATTTGCGCGAGTAAACACCCACGACAAACGAAACTAAAAATCGGACTTGCATCGAATAAAATAATGGAAACTGAAACCCCCAATTCATTTTCCATGCAGTATACTTCACCATTCGCAACTATTGTTTTCGACAGTCCAGAGAATTTGACGAAAGATATTATAAACAAAAATAATCAGCAATCGATAAAGTCACTTTTCAAATAACGTTTTTTTATCAATTTTGTTTTTGCATCGATGTCTAAACAAACATAGCAACTTTCTTCTTATTAACGATATAATAAATTTTTCAAAACGAAGAAGTCTTTTCATTAATTGCCTGACAACTGAATTTATCAAAATTCGTGTAAAGAATAACAGTGAAAGAGATTTTTAAATTCAGAAAAAGATGCCAAAAAGTATGGTTTTTAAAGAAGCTATCGAAAGGGCCTTCGAAAATCACTTTATTCGAATAAAAGATACTGAAAACAATCAAACTTACTCTATTCAATCCTTTTCAATAGTTCAACATAAAAAAAAATTCTTTATCGTTGGTTTTTTATACGAAACTTTTATCTGGATGAAAAATTTTGCCTATCTCTGGCAGGGATTAACCCTTGGACTATGGATTGTACGCGATACTTGCATGAAAGGTGGATGCTGGCGCGATTTGGTACATAACGAAATTATTTCCGTGCATATTTCACAAGGAAGATTTAATTCAATCACCAAATAATTTGAGAGAAAATGATCAGAATTTCAATTAATTAACAGGAAGTCCGGTACACGCAAAATCAGAGTTGCCCGTATAGTTATGAGATGCACTGTACACGCCGAGAATGCTATTTATACCGGTCGAAATATTCGAACTCTTTCGAAACACGCATACCACGATAACATAAGCACTGTTCGACGATCATTTTTGCGAAACGACAGCTGCCTTTGCTTTCGTATAAATAACAACCAAAGGGTCTAAATATCTGCTAATAAAAAAAGTTATATTCCATGGAGGGTATTCATTCGACAAGTTACGTTACAAAAGTTTCTCGGTTTTAAAAGAAAAATACAACTATCCTATTTACATCTCCTATAAAAAAAGCTTCTCCATTTTTTACCATTTTAAAAAGCAAACCTGAATTCCGAATAGCTTTGAGAACATTCAGCAAACGAAAAAGATATAGTTGTAACCGAGAAACTTTTGCATGGAACGCTTCTCTCGAGAATGCATTGTTTTCAAAATATTTCGACATAAAATTTTCAAACGAGCTGCCCGTGTACGCTACATTGTATTGTTTCGGTTTAACGAGCAGATTTCGTTCGTTAAAGGTTGCAAACGTGAGCGTTCAAAGACTCCCGTGTACGTGAAAGGAAACGCTATTCTATTTAAAACGTATCAAGACGTTTGCAAACATTCGACAAAGCCGACAGGGGATTTAAAAAATATTTGTAGTTTCTTTTCTCGTGGATGTTGGACGATTCCCGTGTACTGGTGCCCATGCAGGTGTAATTAAACGTCGAGACAGTAACGCTGTGCGATGAAACGTGTAGGCATCGCGTATCTCTCTCGGTCAGCGAGTACAAAGGGGTAGAGAGCGAGGGAGAGAGAGAGAGAGAGAGAGAGAGAATGAGAGGGGCAGGGAGATAGAGGGGTTGAAAGTGGACAGAGGGTAGCCAGAGAGAGAATCCAACGGAGCTTCGGCGTTGTAAACCATGATTGCGTGTAGATTACAGACCACTCGGTAATTGCTAGCGACCATGCAAAACGCATGACAAAACGTTGCCACCAGGCGCGAGATCGTGAAAATATATCCGACGCCGGCCATTGTTCGCGATTTCTTTATCGTTCACGGAAACGGGCGAAATAAATTTCGTTAATACAGCTCTACGCGCGAAAGAGAATTATTTGTAGACCTATCGTCGCGCCCGTGTGAAAAAAAAAAAATAAAAAATGAACGAGAAATCGCTCAAAGGATCCTTTAAAATGTGTCCTACAAACGCCGTGAATTAAAAATACGAGCAAGAGTGAAACCGGCCTCGGTTAAGAATAAAATAAATTGCAATTACTGTAATTCGTGAATGTAAAATCGCTAAACTTGCTTCGTTTTGAACCTTTCTAACCCTATTGAAAAAATTATGTCACGAAACACCACCAGAAACCAAGTACGAATGTTGAAAAGCAATTACAAAAGAAATTTCTACTTCCCAAATGAAACGAACAAAATACTTTACTAAACCTTTGCAATAATCAAACATAAATAGGTAATATTACTAAACTAGATAACAAGTTTGTAATAAATTCTCGGGTGCAGTCTTTAATAGTTCCTACCTACATAAAGCTTAACCTACTTTGCCTTCTTTACTCCTAATAATGCTATAATATACTATTCATATAATAATTAACATCACAATAGAGTGCTTGCAATATACGGTACTAATACGTTTTTCTGGTGAAATTATCTGAATCAAAAATATATAGTAAAGAACGAAGAACCGGTGTTTTTAACGTGCCATGAACGTTGACAAGTTTTTTTTTTTAATTTATTCAAACATAAACACTCAAATATCTCAACGTATGAAAAAATGGACTTATACACAAGCTTTTTATAATATACGAATACTAGTGGGAGTAACTGTATACAGAAGAAATGAAATAGTAATAACCGATTGCATATTTCACGTTGCCGACTCGATCGTCATTAGAGGCGTTCGAGAACCCGACGATTGGTAGCAAAATCGGTACACAGCCTTCAAGAGGCGAACGATCGAAGGCAAGTTAGCCCGGAAAATAGTTCGACGAAGGCTTGGTGCGCCGCGCGGCGGAGTTTACAACCAGATTAACGTGCAATTAATGGCAGAGGTCCCGTAAAAAGGCCACTCCTGCGACACGATCCAGCATTTAGCCAGCAGTGCATTTTAATTGGAAGGGTGCGACGATAAGGGAAGGAGTGGCGATGATGCATCCAGATTAAGTCGTCTAATCCACGGCCGCGAAGGAACAATGAAAGGGTCTCTCGATGACGGCGGGAAGGGTCCATTAAATAGAGGGGGCTACGCGAGAAGGGAGGCGAGAAACAGGGCCTCGAAAGTTGGGGAAACGAGTCGAGGAGCACGATCGCGCACACCCACCGTCGAAGAAACGAGGCAACGAAGAAACTGGAACGAAACAATTCACGGACGCGTAATGCGAGAGAAACGAGGGGAAACACCCTGGTGGCTGCCATAATTTTGTTAGTTATTCGGAGACGGCGTGGCGAACCGATTAATTAACCGAAGCCACTGTACTCGAGACCATTCAAACAGCCACTGGCACGGCGAAGGTACACGCGCCTCTAACCGCGGGAGGAACAAAAATCCCGGTTAAATAATTGCCGACGTCCAGGGAAAGACACTGCTCGCGAAAGAGCTGGCTTTTCCCCACTTTGGCAGGGGAAAGGCTGCCGGAGACGGAGGAAATGAAAGGAGTCCTGTTGGAAGAGCAAGATCGGGTAAGGGGATGGTTCTTTATCCCTCCCCCACCCTGCACCCACGTATATATATATACAGTTCGTTCTCGGTGCACTTAACTTTCACGATGATTACTTGCAAGCGACACGCGGGATCGTTGCTGGACTTTGACTCCTTGCGGGATGAAAGAACCAGGGGAAAAGGAAGGAGGCTATTTGTCCTACTTGGCCTACATGTATCCGTAATGTGTATAAAGTGGGATGATATACCTGGCCATTTTTCAACGTAACGTCGACGCGGAGCTACGCGAAACGAGGACTTAAAAAGTTACACCGCAGGGGAACGTTGTTTCCGTTGATTAACTCGTTTCGTGTTAGACCTTGGTTTTTTTTAGGAGATGGATATTAGATCTATCGGTGGGTTCAGGTTCGTTCCAAGGGATTCCTTTTAGATAGCACGGTACGGTGATTTCTGCTTTCAAGTTACAAAATCGTCGGTTCGCTTTCGCATTTCGTTCGAAAATTTCGTATATGCTAACAAGTGAAGGACGCGAAAGGGACGAGCGCTTTTTGGGTGAAATTGGGCTTAAAATGTAGGGCACGAGTTTCCTCCAGAGAGTCACATGAGAGAGGCCTAAATGTGGCTTCTTCGACGTAAGAAGCTTCGTGAAATGCGACACTCTAGTAGTCAGTATTTTCGATGAAAAATATGTACAATTATACACTTAAACGATGTCTTACGATCAACTAAATGTTCTAAATACTTTGTTGAGGCTTATATGCAGTGGATAGGTGGATATCAAAGAATGAAACCACACTGTACTATTTGTAACGGCTTTATGAAACGTATTGTATTCGGTATGCCGCGACTGATTGGTACGAGGACAATATTTGAACTGATACATGTAAACCGTAAACACGGTAGCTCAGAGATTGAAAAAAGCGCGTCTTCTCGAGTTCGCTCGTGTTCGCTCGAGTTCGCTCGTGTTCGCTCGTGTTTGCTCGCGTTCGCATGTTTTGCCATACATACACTTGTTTTAACATACTTTTGTTACCCATTTCTGTTTCGTACTTCAAACAAATATGTTGCTAATACTGTACAGGGTGTTCGGCCACTTTTGGAAAAAATTTTAATGAGAGATTCTAGAGCCCAAAATAAGACGAAAATCAAGAATACTAATTTGTTGATTGAACCTTCGTTAAGAAATTATTAACAAAATTATTAATACAATTTGTCCACCTACACGAATTTTTTTCTCGAAAGTGAATAGGATTTCGGGGGTATGTCTATTGGCCAAAAATGATTGTAATTAACCCCCGCAATCGAAAATAATTTTTTCAGAATGATTTGAAATTTTTTTTTCACAAAAAATTTCTGCACCCCTGTCGATTTTTCTTAAAAATTCATTTTTCATTTGTAATAAATTTGTTTGACGCGCTACGGAAAAGTTGTTTAATACTTTTTTGTAGGTACCCATGAGCTCTACTTTCTTCCAAAATTTCATTGAAATATATTCACTATTGTAGGAGTTATGGTCCATTGAAAATTGGACCACTTTTATGGGAGTTTTCTCAGTTTACGGCGTTAAGGAACAACTTTTTGAATAGTCTTGGAATTTCTACATATTCTTCACCTAAATACGCGTTGTTTGCCTTTCGAAACATTAAAATCCTTCAATCCGTTCGGATGTTATGATGTTTTAAACATACGCAAGAAATTTCAGGGAAACATATCAATGGTATGGTCAGACATTATATTTTCGGTAATGAATTTTTTTCTCGAAACTGCGTAGGATTTCGGGGATATGTCTATTCACCAAAAATGATTGTAACTGACCCCTGCAGCCAAAAATATTTTTTTCAGAACGATTTGAAATTTTTTTTTTCGCCGAAAAATTGTCCAGTCGGTATGGAACTATAAACGTTAATAACTTGATTTTCATCTTATTTTGGCCTCTAGACGTACGTGATTAGATCATTTTCCAATTTTACTAACACAATCTTGGAACTTCCCTCTTGCTATAGTCTCTAAATTAAAAGTTCTTTATTAATTAACGGATGTGAGCCCTTGGAACAAATAAAATCTTAATGAAAAATCAAATAAATCTTAAAAATAACGTTGCTGAAGATGCGATTTAACTCCTCAAATCGGCCATAAAGCGTTCTATGACATTCTTCTAAGAGGATCGGAATCTTAGAGCTACCGATGATGCATTTGAGGCAAAGATCGATAGAATGGCAGACACGAAACTGTACGAATGAAAAATGTACGTATCGACAGGGCAACGTCCGTGATCCCGGTTGGTCAGCTGCGGGTCAGCCTGGGGGAGTACAATCTAAGGGGACCGGAAGTGCCACCGTCGAAGGAAGAGAGGGTGACGAATGCTATTTTGCACCCGGACCACAAATGCGGAAAATACCTAGACGATATTGCCCTCTTGGAACTTGCGAGGCCAATCGCTTGGTCGGAAAGCGTGAAACCCGCCTGTTTACCTGTGGCCACAGGGAAACCAGGGTACAGCGCCTTCGGCGGGGAACTTGCCAAAGCGGCCGGTTGGGGCTGGCTCGGCGAAAACAGGACCAAATGTAAGTAAATAATGTCTCATCCCCCGTGTTCCCGACTAATTCCCTCGGAAATAAGGGGTCGTTAACGTTGATTATATGCCAGTTTCTCCCGGAATTAATCGGTACGATATCAAATCGAACGTCGGTCGATTTTCTCGCCCGGTGCCTCTATACAAAACGTTTTAACGCGAATTTCAAGAACGAACAAGCGAAAGGCTCTCACCGGCGAAACTAAGTTGGATTAAGAAAGATAAAGGGGAAGTTTCAACGAGTTCGGTACAGTTTGCTTTATTAACGACGCGATCGTTGCCGTTGAAGTGAATAAGTAAAGACACGCCGGAGTTATCAACATGTACTGGAAAGTTTCCGCTGCAATGGTTCCCGAAGTATCTAACCGAATTTCTCCCTTGGAATTGCATTCTACAAAAGTTCCTTGCTTGCTTGCCGGACTCGACTGGAACTGGGGCCCGGGCGTTCGAATTCAGCTTTGGCCAAACGACGCATTCGGCGAAATCAAATTTCAACGATGCGACTCGAACGCGCTTAAACTTTTACGATTATTTAAACGCCGGAATCTTGGCAAACTTACCAAATTAGTGGCGAACAAAAAATTGCTAATGGTTTCCCGTGTATATATATATATTATCGAATCGATTGATCTTTTAATCGTATTGACGCTATACTGTTCGGTGACGCTCAAAACGCGGACAAAATCTAGCCAAATGGAATTGTTTGTATTGACTGATAGTTCAAGCTATTAGAAATCATAAAAATTAACGAAAAGATCTGAGTACAAAATTGCTCGATCATAATTTTAAGACGATTTATACTATTTCGAGCGATTTGAAAAATAATGAGAATTTATTGAGTCTGCCTTTAATATGTGTACTTTGGAATATTTTCTATATTGAAAACGATACTTCTCCGATTATATAATGAGACAATTGAATATAATTCTTTCATTGTAGCTGTTAACTATTTTTTCGATCTCTTTAATAATGAAAAGCTATGTTTTATGAAAGAATTCGTTAAATGAGTGCAAACAAATATAATAAAAGAAGATTGGAAAACGCGTTATTAGATTTAGGACACGATTTACTAGAATCATTACGTGTTCCTTGAAAGAAATAGTTGACACAAACTTATAATTGTAATTATAGTATTTAAAAAGAAATATATCTTGTATGGAATCGTATAGTTTGAATGAATATAGGAAATAACAAAAAATACTAAAGCTACTGTTTCAACAAAAATTACTGTTACTCGAGTGGCTACAGTAGTAGCTTTCCGTTTTGCATTATCTTTCATAAAAAATGAAATAATTACAATTGTTGCCTGAGTGTGGCCCACTACTGTGACATGTGTCGAAATTAATTCAGTTTACATTATGAAATAATAATTCAATCCTCGAATTAATAGTGTATTTTGCTTGACACAACTAGCCATGACTAACTAGAGATATGCAAATGTTAATTCCGATATGTTCAAACATATCCCCCGGTGATTCATGGATCGATATTACAAACGCTAATTGAACTAGAAACTAAATAAACTAAATACAACGAAATTGTTGTTAGAACAGAGGAATAGATAGAATAATGCAAAGAAAGAGACAAACACGTGGTTTCTTGGCTGGCGGGAGCCATTCCTTATTTTTTTCAAAATGAAATGTTACCGTTTGATAATTTAATTCGTGAAATTCAACACGATGGAGCCACGTCTCACGCTTCTGTCAAAACCATCGCTTTGTTGAGATCGAAGTTCGATACTAATTGTAAGATTACTTCGGGAAATTATCTGGTCACCAAGACCTTGCAGACTCGGCGCCATTACACTTTTTCTCGCGAAATCACGTTAAGTCTACTATTTATTCCAACAAACCACAAACTCTCGACGATCTAAAAGCAAACACTATTTGTCTAATTCACACGACACTGTAGTTCACCAGATTATCTTTCGTAGTTCTAATTTTATATCAATGTTTCGTTATTGGGAAGCCCTATAGAAATAGCTAAATCCATGGATCTGTTGGAACGAAACGTGAATGATGTTTCGGGCTTTAAGTGAATATTGCTGTCTAGACTGTCATTTTTTCAGCCTTCTTTGTAATTTTTTTTTAATGGTAGACAGACTGTTTCGTACTGAGATTTTGCAGATATATTTATTCATCTTATAAGTATGTATAGTAATTTTTTCATGAAAAAATATTAAAAATTGTGGGAGTTATAATTTCTTGTTTAATGGCTTCACTGGCTTCCACGAATCCAGCCGATAATCTGAAACAGAGGGGGCTAAAGTATCTTCATAAGGAAGGGTGTAGTTATAGCAGGAACTAGGGAGAAGCCAAAATCTCGATAAATAATGGAATGACGGCACTTCAAGTTTCGAATTTCTATTTTTTAACCTTTGTCTTTAGCATATTTAAAAAAATAGTAAAACTCGATATTTTAAAAATCTCTAGTTCCAACGATAAAGGCATGTCTGCTGAATATTCTCTCAAAATTTGAAGTCAATCGGTCTACTACATCTTGAAATACCATAAAAGCCATTTTAAATGCGTTTTTTTTAAAAAAGAAGTTATAAGTTCCTCAATAATTCTGCTGAATATTCTCTGAAATTTTGAAGTCAATCAGTCTACTAGATCTTGAAATACCATAAAAGCCATTTTAAATGCGTTTTTTTTTAAAAAGAAGTTATAAGTTCCTCAATAATTCTGCTGAATATTCTCTGAAAATTTGAAGTCAATCAGTATACTAGATCTTGAAATACCATAAAAGCCATTTTAAATGCGTTTTTTTTTAAACAATAAGTTATAACTTCCACAATTTGTAATATTTTTGGATGAGAAGAATACTGTACATATTTATAAGATGAATAAATGTATCTGCAAAATCTCAGTGTACAAAACAGCCTACCATTAAAAAAAATACCGAAAAAATGTCAGCCTGGACAGGGATATCCCTTCGAATGGTTGATTCGCGATAGCCGGAGCACCGTGACGTATCAAATAACGCATCCGTTCGCTATCTTCCAGACAAACGAGCGGACGTCTTGCAGAAAGTGGACGTTCGCGTGATCGAGAACAAGGTTTGTCGCGAATGGTACGCCAGCGAGGGCAAGTCGACGCGGGTGGAGGCGAAGCAAATGTGCGCCGGCCACGAAGAAGGCGGCCGCGACTCTTGCTGGGTAAGTGAAAACCACCAACGCGTATCATTTATCTACCCGGTAGTTGTTCCGTTCCCCGATATCGATCCGCCTCCTCCATTCCCGTGTCGTTAGTTAAACCGCGTTGCGTGTCAATCGTTCATACGCGAAATTCACGCCCCGTCGAACGACCGCGACATGAATTTCAATAAATATCCGTGGTCGTGCAGCGGACGCGTACGTTGAATTAACAGGCGGGCGGGGATAGACGGTCGGTCGCGGACCAAATTGTTCGACCGCGAAACAAAATGAAAAAGTAGGGGGGGGGGAGGGAAAAGAGAGGGGGAGGGGGGAGAAAAAAAAGCAATACCCCTGCCTGAAAAGCCGCCCGAGAAATATGTTGACAAAATATTGCGGTACGGGGCAACGTAATTATCGAAACAACTGGCCGCGAGAATAAAAAAAAGGGGGTTCGTGAATATGTACGTGTTTCCAACTCGATACGTTTTATTGCGTATTTGCGATTCCGTTCGCGGTCCATTTGAGGGATATCTTCTACTTCGTTGAACAATTTCGCCCGATCTATACGTCCCGCGCTTAGTCGGCCATGACTGTCGAATAGATAATATAATTGCTTCCGCGGCGGTGGTTGAGAATCATTTAACGTTATGGTTGTAAGTAGATTGACCGAAATTCGTTTAAACGCACCCAATATATGGGAGAAAAATAATAACAAGCAAAGCTCGATGCAATGCTTTTTTTCGTGCAAGAATAGTATAAGTATTATTTTAAAAATTCTTCTGAAACGTATCTTTCCATTTGGAAAATAAAATACACAATTGAGAAAACTACCAAATTGAATGTAAAATCTGTTATATCGCCTATTTTATTCCCCATACATTGCCTCGTTAGATTATCGCTTATTTTGTCGACTCAATTATATAACAACACTTTTTAATGGATAAACAATTTGAAAATATCAATGTACTAAAGAGCAGTGTTGAACACCGTTTTAATGAAAAATCAAAGGAAGGGAAGGAAGGATTTAATCCTCGTTCATGACGAAATAAAATGGAAACAATCTTATATTGACTTTTATAGTAGTCGTTGTTAACTGTAGATATAAATCTTTAAATAAATGGTACATTTAGTTGCATATAAAATTTTTTAAACTTTTCGGACCCATTATAATTCGAAACATATTTTAAAGTGTAAATGTAAATGTAAATGGATCTTTAAGGAGATTCAACTTGGAGATGTAAAAGTAGAGGATTCAGGCATTAAAATAATCCCAGGAAAATTATTATACGACTTCTATTCACGAAGTGTTCTAATACTTATGAGAGGCATTGTACAGGGTGTTCGGCCACCCCTGGGAAAAATTTTAATGGGAGATTCTAGGGGCTAAAATAAGAATAAAATCAAGTTATTAACGTTTATAGTTCTATACTGACTGGACAATTTTTCGGCGAAAAAAAAAATTTCAAATCGCTCTGGAAAAAATATTTTTAACTGCGGGGGTCAATTATAATCATTTTTTGTGAATAGACATATCCCCAAAATCCTACGCAGCTTCGAGAAAAAAATTCATTACCGAAAATATGTCTGACCATACCATTGATATGTTTCCCTCTTGCGTATGTTTAAAACATCATAACTTCCGAACGGATTGAAGGATTTTAATGTTTCGAAAGGCAAACAACGCGTATTTAGGTGAAGAATATGTAGAAATTCCAAGACTATTCAAAAAGTTGTTCCTTAACCCCGTAAACTGAGAAAAACCCCATAAAAGTGGTCCAATTTTCAAAGGACCATAACTCCTACAATAGTGAATATATTTCAATGAAATTTTGGAAGAAAGTAGAGCTTATGGGTACCTACAAAAAAGTACTAAACAACTTTTCCGTAACGTGTCAAACAAATTTATTACAAATGAAAAATGAATTTTTAAGAAAAATCGACAGGGGTGCAGAAATTTTTCGGTGAAAAAAAAAATTTCAAATCATTCTGAAAAAATTATTTTCGATTGCGGGGGTTAATTATAATCATTTTTGGTCAATAGACATACCCCCGAAATCCTATTCACTTTCGAGAAAAAAATTCGTGTAGGTGGACAAATTTTATTAATAATTTTGTTAATAATTTCTTAACGAAGGTTCAATCAACAAATTAGTATTCTTGATTTTCGTCTTATTTTGGGCTCTAGAATCTCTCATTAAAATTTTTTCCAGGGTTGGCCGAACACCATATACAACTAGATATACGATTGATAATTTGTTTCAGTCTGACAGTGGCGGACCTTTGATGATCGGAAGTCATACTGGCAGTAACATGATGGTTGTGGGGATAGTCTCGTCAGGGGTAGGATGTGCCCGACCCCGACTTCCTGGTGTATATACTCGAGTGTCGGAATATACACCTTGGATCGCGCAAAATGCGCTTCCAATACGATGAAGCGAAAATTCAAATTTTGTTAAATTTAATTTATCGTTTCAATGGTTTCATCCATCACGGTACATAGTCGTTAAGAATTTAAAAATAGATATATCGTTGACTTACTATGACTTGGAAGAAAAAATTTTAATTGCATTTAGAGAACGAAATAGGAACTTGAGAGTATTTGAAATAACATCCATTCGTAAAATTTTCAGGGATTAAGAACTAATTTTGCGCGATTGTACAAATGTTATTAGTATAGACACAACTAATATATTTAAGAAATAATGCAAACTTATAAAAGACCATTTATAATACGATAACGTATTATACGTGGTAAAATGTGATAAAAGACTAGCGTTAAGAAGTTTAAAAAAGTCATCGTTAATATGTTCAAATAGTTTATAAAATTAGTTTCCTTATCTAGTCATATTTATTTATGATTAAGTATTTTGTATGTTAAGGGTGTACGGTATTCCAAAAATATTCGAAATTGCCGGAAGTATGAAATACAACACATTGAAAAACGATTACCGTAAAAAGTATTATATGTTTATAAGTCCTTTGAAAATAGATTGTAAATTATGAATCTAATAACGTGCAAAATATATTTCAGTATGAATTAATTTATTGTGTTTTTTATAATACATTCTACATATTATATTCTTCTTGGTTTCCTAGCTCTTAAAGGATTCCATGATACTCTAGTGTCATCTGTGATAGAAACAATACTTAATCCTGTAAGATGTAATCCTTTTATGGCAGCCTGAATACAGATAAATATTTATTATAAAAATGTTATATACAAAATAATTAAATCACAACTCTTCGATATTTACCAATCTACCAGGTCCGATACCTTGTACCCTTACCCTAATTGTTTTTATACCTTTGTCAAGAATACGCTTAAAAAAAACAAAGACATTATAAATACACAAGGAAACTACAACAATACTAAATTAACATAACATCAAGAAGTTTCTCACTGTCCCAAGTGTAATGGCAGCCTGTTGCGCAGCAATGTTAGTACCTTTTTTGGCATTTTTGAAGCCTTCCATACCACATGTATGTAAAAACATTCCAAGTCCTATAACGTTCTTGTTACATTTTTAGCATAATTATAAAAGCAATATTTATAACATAATATTAACATATCAACACTTACCCTTAGAATCAGTAACAGACATTATGGTATTATTTCGTGTTGCCTTTATATTTAGAATATGTAAGTCTTTATATGGTACACCATCAAAAATCATAAACGGCGTTAAAGCATCAGGATATAATTTTTGTCTAAAATTGACACATGTTGACACATGACAATTACAGTCATTAATTTAAGAGCACTTACATTCGTAGAAAAATATTAATATATTTATAAATTATACACCATTTATATAATACACCAATTAATTGCTTACGGACTAGATGCATAATTAATTTCAATCGTATCTTCTCCTTCTACGGATAGGTTTCGGCTTTTCTCGTTGCTGGCTCTTACTTTCTTATTCTCCGATCGAAATTCTCTCAAAATAGGTGAGGTTATGTGGATACTTCTAACATTCTTCGAATTCGGACACGACAATCTTAAGAAGTGTTCCATGAAACGAACTTTTGTGGGAGAACATGTTACTAATCGTAAGGTTTGTCCAATCATTTTTCTTTATTTACACACGATTTTTAATCACATTAAAAATAACACACGCAGTAAAACACAAAACACGTGCAGCATGTGGCGCGCCCTGCACTACATTTCGTTAAACTTGTATCAGAAAAAGATCAATTCTTGAATCGTAGAACAAGAATATAATAGACTGAGTGTTCAAAAAAAAGTTTCAAGACCAACAATTTATTTTGCTTACCGAAGTATATTTTCCTTAATATTTAGGAAATTAAAATAAATCTAGTTTTAGTACAAAAGTAAAAATTGTTTAAAATATAACCACAAACGAGGTATACGAGTAGACCTTTCACCTTATGGACTTTCGTGACCCAATCTGACTGCCATACCGACCTGAAAATTCACATGGATGGCGGTCAGTTGAGAAACTATTCACTGAATTGGTATTGATAGGCAAACAGTGTAGTGTTGCGTAAATACATGTGAGTTGACTATGGAAGAGATTAAAATTCATTTCTGAATCTGTCGGTAACGTTGCGAATGACACGAAAATGGTAATGGGTCCCAGGACCCCAGAGAAACGGGCCGAAAAAATGCATTAGGTGTAAGGTCTACTCGTATACCTCGTCTGTGGTATAACCATAAGTAACATAGCTATTTCAAAAGCATGCAGATCGGCCATAGAGTAAAACCATAACAAAACCATAGAATTCCATTACCATTTCCGTGCCACTCGCAACGTTACCAACAAACTATAGAAAGCGATCATAGCGCTTATAATGGTAGGAAATGAAATTACAGGAATTATTTTATTTTTTAACAAAATGGAAGTCAATCAATTAAAATCATTGGACGGATGCGATTGAAAATTTAATCGTCAGAAGAAAATCACGATTAATATTAGTCGATTAATGGAACTGATCGTTCATTACTATTTCAGTGCCAAATCCAATTATTGATTCCGAATGAAATAAAACTGTAACCCTTTCAACTATAAGAATTAAAACTAAATGTGGCGAGAGTTACGATTTGATAAACGATCGAAGAATTGATCGTTTTGAATCTGATGAAGAAGCTATATTTATACCGAACTATACGAGGAAAATCGCAGCCATTAGCTCATATTATTTGCTATGTAATTAATTATTAAATAATTATAATATACAGCTATGAGTGATACAATTAATTACATACTAAATAATAATGACCCAGGTCTCACCGCGTGGAGGTTGCTGCGAATAGAGACCCACCCTAGCCTCGCCCCAACCACCCTCCTTTGGCGAGAAATCCTAACATCTATTGGCTATTTTAACAACAAGGAGAGAGTATTTAGAAGAAAAACTTGATAGAGATCAACTGCACGAACGAACCCTGACTATTAGAATACCAATATGTACTCTGATATTGATTGATCCTACTTAAATGGACGATTATATTTGGATAGTGCCTAATAAGACACTGAAGAACGAAATGTGCAACTGCACTTATGAACCCAGCTTAGTAATATACCAATATCTACCTTAATACTAATCATTTCCACTTAAATCTACGCTTAAATTCGGTAGGACCGAATACGACGCCACATATTTGCTTAATTATCTTACAATCGATATACACTTATACTTATATTCTAGCGCAATCTGTAGAAACATGGAGAAATATGATAAAATATTTTCTTCTTGGTGTTTTTGTTAATCCCACGATGTGTTTCCTAAAATATAACTCATATAAAACAACGAAATATTATAAAATATTTTCTTTTTGATGTCTTTGTTAATCGTACGATATTTTCCTGAAACATACACTCATATATGATAAATATAACTCATTTAAAACAACGAAATATAACAAAATATTTTCTTCTTGATGCTCTTGTTAATCCCACGATGTTTTCCTGAAACATAAACTCAGATAATAAATAATTGTATGAGATAGATACTTTCCCAAGAACGATCAAGTTAGAATCTTCAATAATTTCCAATTCCATTCTTCTATACTTGTAGTATACTCTGTAAAAAGAACTTGTTCAAAGGATTAGTAGCTGAAATGAAAATGTATTAATGGACACAGAATTATGTACTGTTAAGATAGATCCATGTTAAAATTAATACTTGAATTAAACCCTCCACAAGCAAAAATTTAAATTCGTTTAGTGTTGAGATAAATACCGAATATTATTTCTCGTTACGTTTTTCAAATAGAATTTATGATTGCAAAATTGAACGATTAAAGAATTCTCTTTTTATTAAATACGCGAATTAAATTTCATTCGTGATATACAGTGATAGATATTTATAAGAATATACTTTATATACATACTTTAAATAAGAAAACAACGTTGCAGATACTTGAACAAATTTTTCAAAATATATACATATATTGTAATAATCATATTTTATTGTATAACGAACATAATAGATGTCGATTTTATGCGGAAATTAACTCTCAATATGAAATGTATTGAATTGTAATTTGCGTATCATTTTGATGCAAGCATTTCATTATCCATGGATTGAGACAATAATCACGGACAAACTTTAATCTATGCAAATAATTTCAAATATTTATAAAAAAAAGTCCACTATTTATAAATAAATATTGCGGTTGAAAAGGTCATTATATCTCGTAAAAATTAACAACTCTAATAATGAATAATTACTGATATATATATAATTTAATCATAATATAACATTTTAAAATATATCACAAATCTGTGATAAAAATACATAAAAATTACAGATTTTTACACGTTACGAAGAATGAAATAGTCTATACATATACAACAGTACTTTCCAGCAGTATTTCCAATGATAAACATATAAAAGAAAGACATATTTCACATGATTAGAATAAATGTCCACTCGTCATAAATTCAAACAAAAACCCGTGATTGGACCATTGTTTCCCTCGCAACGCTAGTTTATAAAATACAAAAATCGCGAGGGGTGCTTATTAATCGTAAAATGAACCACATAGAGCTGCTTTATTAATTAAATCGCGTGCACCCATATTGAATAATACGCAACACTAATTTTAATAAAGACGTTGAGCTCTTCGAGGCGTTGTAACACAACTGCGTCGTGATGATCTTGAAGCAGTGGCCAGCATCAGATTTTGGACATTAGATCGCAACACTGCTTAATAAAAACCGCGATAAATCAAGACCGCAACACTGATTTATAATAGAAAAATTCCAAACGCGATTTGTAATAACAAAAGCAACCGCGAATGGTGTTTTTCGCAACACTGCCCTGAAAAACAAACGCGAAAAATGATAATTCGCAACGCTAAGAGCAAACCGATCATTCGCAACATTATTCTTAAATAACAATAAAAGCAATCGCGTGTGGAATTCGCAACGCTACCCTGAAAAGGAAACGCGAAAAATAGGAATTCGCAACTCTACGAGCAAACGCGATTATTGTATATTCGCAACTCTATCTTTAATGGAAATATATTTTTGTTTCGCAACGCTAATGCAAATCGCGTTTTGCCCAAAAATGCTGGATCTTGGTGCTGGCGACGTCCATCCTTGATGCAAACATACATGCAGAAAATAAGCTAACTACTTCTAATTACTATTAACTACTGTAGAGTGGCTCATGTGGGGATGAATTTAGACGTTTTAAATATCGCAACACTACGGGGCAACAACGCGATAAATCAACAATCGCAGCGGTAATTTATAATAGAAAAAATACCAAACGCGACTTGTAAGAATAAAAGCAACCGCGAATGGTAATTATTCGCAATATTACCCTGAAAAGCAAACGCGAAAAATAGTAATTCGCTACTCTAACAGCAATCGCGTCTACTAATAATTCGAAACGCTATTTTTAAAGCAAACGCCCGATTCCTAGGTTTGCATAAAGACAATCGCGAATCGTATTTATTCGCAACACTGATATATCAACGCGATAAATATTTGTTCGCAACTCTACGAGCAAACGCGAACATTGTATATTATTCGCAACTCTAACTTTAATCAGGGGCTATTGGTACATGTATATAGACATGTACTGGCCACTAAATAAACTAACTACTTCTATTACTACAGTTAGGGTAGAATTTTGGCACTGAAAATATCGCAACCCTAAAGAAAAAATCGCACGATTGATCAAGATCGCAACGCTAATTTATAGTATGAAAATTGCAAACGCGGTTGATGTCCATTATATGTATAAAAGAGTAAAAAAGCAACGCGAATCGTGATTATTCGCAACACTACTCTGAAAAGGAAACGCGAAAAATGGTAATTCGCAACTCTACGAGCAATCGCGTTTATCAATAATTTGCAACGCTACTTTTAAAGCAAACTCCCGGTGCCTAAGTTTGCATGAAAACAATCGCGAATGGTAATTATTCGCAACACTACCCTGAAAAGGAAACGCGAAAAATAACAATTCGCAACTCTAAAAGCAAACGCGATTATTGGATATTCGCAACTCTATGTATATCATAACCGCGAGTTATGGGGAGGGATGGCTGGCATGTATGGTGCAATCATGTACCATCAGGTACATGCATACGTGAGCCAGCCAAAAAAAACAAACTAACTACAACTACAGACGAGTCAAGTGACAAAGTAGTAACAGGAATGACTTTCCATTTTCATCCGAGGATGAAGATGAAAAGCCATTTGTTGTAGCCCACTCTTGAAACAGTTTGTCAGGGCCTCTTCAGCTCATTGAGAGCCTCTTCTTTCTTCGGCGGTCCTGCCGAAGCCTGAAACTTACTTAAGACCGGGCTCGAGATTTTGTGCAATACGTAGTCTTCCAACAATATACGAATTGTTGGAAGAGCATACGTGGTGAATCTCGAGGGGGGCGAGCGTTTCGAAAGGGACCTAATCACGACCGCGAGCGCGAGAGAGCGACTTTAAGAGTCGCGCGATTCGAGGAGTCGAAAATAAAGCTGAAACAAACAGCATACACCGTTTGAGTCAGCAAGATTTCTACTCTCGAAATCGTAACTACAGAAACAGAACTGCCACGCGAAAACGCGCCTACCCGAATTACTAATGTGGACAGTCCTGTTCTGACCCTACCTACTTAGGTTTAAACACACACACCAGAGAATAAGTTACCTACCTACCTAACCCTATATTTAAAAAAAT